CCCCCTACTCCCCAGTCCCCAAGCACTTCCTGAGACTGCATGTGGGGCTGGCAGGGGGCACAGGGCTGTGGGTGGGCTCTCCTTCCCTGCCCCGACCCCCCCCCCACCATCACTCCCAGGGTGCAGGGGTGGGTGACTAGACAGCCTCTGTTCCTGGGCCCTGGGAAAAAAGCTGCAGTCATGCGTTTCCAGTGTGCAGAAGCAGCGGCTCAGTCATGCATTTGGGGGATTCAAAACCAGGTTTAGTGGGCTCATCTTGGGGGGGATCCCTCCCAGGGTGCAGGGGTGGGTGACTAGACAGCCTCTGTTCCTGGGCCCTGGGAAAAAAGCTGCAGTCATGCGTTTCCAGTGTGCAGAAGCAGCGGCTCAGTCATGCATTTGGGGGATTCAAAACCAGGTTTAGTGGGCTCATCTTGGGGGGGAGGGGGATGGGGCTCAGAAGAGGAGGCCAAGTCCTGTGGTTTTTGTCCTCAAAAACAGGGTCGGCGGCTGGTTTTGGGCTCAAAAACAGAAACTAGGCCCTGCTTTTTCTGGTGCTCAGAAAGGGAGGCTGAGTCCTGTGTTTTTGGTGCTCAGAGCAGGCCCACTGGGCTGTTTTGAGGCTCAGACCTGCGTCTGCCTCAAAGCCTTGCAGGAGGCCAAGCCCTGCGTTTTTGTAGCACAAGAACAAGTTCAATGGACTGGTTTCAGAGCTCAGAAATGGAGGCTGAGTCCTGCGTTTTTGGGGCTTGGAAACAGGTTCATTGGGCTGTTTGGGTGCTCAGAAATGGAGGTTAAGTGCTGCGTTTTTGGTACCCAAAACCAGGTTCATTGGACTGGTTTCAGAGCTCCGAAACACAGGCTAAGTCCTGCGTTTTTGAGCTCAGAAACGGAGGCTAAGTGCTGCGTTTTGGGGGCTTGGAAACAGAGACTACTAAGTCATCCTGCACCAGGCCGAACTTCGCGTCTGAGATAGTTTCTGGCGCGAAAGGCACTTTTGGGGAGGAAACGCGAGCAGACGCCGTCTTCCAGTTCCACTCTTTATTCACCATTTGTACAATAATGTCCATATTTATTTAATATGTGCATACTGTTAATAAACAAATTATGCTCCATGTGTGCAATATTAAATATGATATTCATATGCAAGTTGTGACAGTGATGGATTTACAACCTGGGCAGTCACCAAGATTGCTGCAAGGAGCTGGAGCGGGCAATGTCATGAATTTATACATTTATATTCCACATGTAAACATTTTTATATATAACAACAACAACTATGTACTCAATATATACATACTATTAATAAACTAATTATGCGCTATGGATGCAATATGGAACATAACATTCATATGCAAGTTATGATTGATTTATGACCTGGGCAGTCACCCAGCTAGCTGCACTGAGCTGCAGCTGCGCTGTCACAAATTTATACATTTCTATTCAACATTTACACATTTATATCCATAGTAATTAACTATCTATTCTATATGTACATACTGTTAATAAACTAATGATGCTCTATGGATGCAATATGGAACATGATACTCATATGCAAGTTATGACAGTGATTGATTTACGACCTGGGCAGTCGCCCAAGCTGCAAGGAGCCGGAGCTGCGCTGGCACGAGCGGGCGCTGCGCTCCCAGCTCGGCTCCCAAGGAGGCCCAGAGCCCGGCGGGCGCAGGCAGCTCGGCCCCAGCCCGGAGCGGGGCGCGCGCAGGGCAGGAGGGAGGCGAGGCGAGGCGAGCGCAGTCGTCCTGCTGCGAGCAGGGAGCCGGGCGCCTTGCGTCAGGGGTGGAGGAAGCCTCCCTCTCTGCGGCGCCGCTCTCCCGCTTCCGTCTCCGAGCGCAGAAAGGAGGTGCGAGGCCGTCGTGCAGGGTCGGCACCACCTGCACCTGACAACGAGACA